ATGCCTGCAGCACTATCAGTGAGGTTGCTCCGTTCACAACGTCAGTGGTGAGAGGTCTATGGGTGATGACGGACGTTCATCGGATTGGCTTCCTGACTACGAGGGTGGTGGGAACCAACGGTCTGCCTACGGTTCATCATCATGAAGGTTGTCAACCCCCACAGCGGACTCCTGCCTGGGTCTTGCGGGGCCCAGGCTGTGTCCCCCAACCCTGGGAGTTGGGGCCCGGAGGAGGGAACACAAAAGAAGTAGGATGACCCCCGTGTGGTGCCCACCAGGAAGGCTTTTCCCACTTTTGGTGGTTTGGGGACGTACCGAACCTGCCCCGGGGGTGTTGCGGTACCTGGCCAGGGGTAGGGGCATGCAGGGATGGGCACCTGTTGCGGGGAGGGCCGGGACACATGGGGGCGCGGCCATGGGCACACACCTGTCTCTTATACACATCTAGATGTGTATAAGAGACAGGAGAGGTTGCTCCGTTCACAACGTCAGTGGTGAGAGGTCTATGGGTGATGACGGACGTTCATCGGATTGGCTTCCTGACTACGAGGGTGGTGGGAACCAACGGTCTGCCTACGGTTCATCATCATGAAGGTTGTCAACCCCCACAGCGGACTCCTGCCTGGGTCTTGCGGGGCCCAGGCTGTGTCCCTGTCTCTTATACACATCTAGATGTGTATAAGAGACAGTGATAATCCTCACCCAACTGAGATAACCACACAAAACAAATCAGCTTTAAAGAAGGCGATAAGTTCAGTAGCTTCATGAGGGTTCTGTTGTCGCTTCTTCACTCACAGAATGCTACCGCGAATCAGCTTCTTTCCAGGCTAAGAACACAGGCAGCCTGGCTGGGAGGGTGGTGTCTCCCGGATACACACCCGCTAGGCAGGCCTGTCCTGGCAGGTTCGAGGCCATCCCCAGTGCCCTGTATTTAAGAAAAAAAAAAAAAAAAAAAAAAAAAAAAAAAAAAAAAAGGGAAAAAAACCCCCCCCCACCACCCCGGCGCCGAAAAAGTGCGCCCCCCCCCCCCAACAGGCAGGGGGGGGGTTTTTTTTTTTAAAAAAAAAAAAAAAAAAAAAAAAAAAAAAAAAAAAAAAAAATCGAGAAAACAACTGGCAGAATACATCAGGTCTGCCAATAGATGGGGCCTCCCCCCCCAGGTGCTAGCGGTGTCTGCTCTTATCAGCACCACTAGCAACTGCAGGGGTGTCTTGTTTTAAAAAAAGATAAAAAGAAAAGATCAGGTCTGTAAAATAGTGTGGTGAACAGGTTTTGGCGAAGGTTCACGATGTGATTCCATGTTGCACCACCACTACCTCCAAGCCTCTTTCTGCCAAGGCGGAGTCAAACTGCGCGCCCGCAGGGGGTCGAAGTGCCGGCGCAGCATATCCTCCGCCAGCCTCCAAAGAAAGCGGTCCACAGATTACATGCACGACGTAGCCTCTCAGCCTGAATGGTCATGGTGGCTCGATTCCAACATGAATTTAGACGCAGAAAATGAGACCTAAATGTACCCCCATTGAACCCCTTTACAACCTCTTAAGCTTAACTTCAATGGCCCCCAAAGACCTTAGGGGGTAACCCACCCATCACCAAATGAGAAGGTAAGGCCAGGTTCTGACTACCGTCTTCAGCCGAATAGATCGCCTGGTCGTTATAGCGCTATCTGTACTGAAAATTGCAACAAATACGGCTGTAATGACCGGGCGTTCTATTCGCGTGAAGACGGTAGGAGGCCCCGTGCAGTCCTATTCGCCTGAAGTAGATCTTTCTTTTGCTTCACTACACTCTTTTTGACCCACCTGGTTTTCCCGCGCGGGTTCCCCCCTGGCTGTCCGGTCCCACTGGGCGGGTCGGGTTTATACTAGTTTTTACCAAGCTTTTAGCCTAGCCGTCCTTTTTCCGGTCTCATTAATTAGTAATTACGGCATTTATTTGTATCACCGAGACGCCTTTTCTTATTTCGGGGGGAGGAAGGCTATCATCCCTGTCTTTCCTCTTTTTCTCCCCCTACGGAGCCTTGTGCCCAAGGCTTTTGTCGTCTCAAATCATCCGACATTTTCATCTGTGCTTGTTTGTGTTTCCTTTGTTGTTCTATTGCCCATTCATCTGTTTGCTCATTTTTCTTTGTTGGGTTGTTCGTTTGTTTACTTGTTTTATCGATGGCAGGCCTCCGGCAATGCACGATTCAGGAAATAATCAATAATGCAAGAACCACCATTGTTGTCATGCAAAAAAAAGGAAAGAGACGAACAGCTGCTAGTTCGTACACGTCCCCAGCCCTGCAGTCCGAAACTTTGTCGCCACAAGAAAACAAGGCCGAAACGTCAAACGCAGGGCCTGCCGTTGATATATAGCATCGGTGTCGGATTCGGCGGTCCTTTTTTCGTTTCACGCTTCTTTTCAGAGATTCGAGGTGTCAGGCCGCGACCTGTTAGCCGCTTTTTACAAGGTAGCCGTGCACTGGTGCTTTAAGAGTAATCAAATGAAGAGGGAAGCAGAACGATAGTGTGCAGCTAAGCTTCATGCTATGCCAGATGCATGTATCTAACTTAGACCACGACAATCCCGGACCCCTAAAAGATGTGCGACTCCCTTAAACTCCGTGCCTGCGCCTCACCAAAGGGTGGGCTGGAGGGCTTGGCCGCGACCTGTTAGCGGCTCTTTACAAAACATTGAGTGCGGGCTATTTTTTTCGTGATCAGAAGAGAATAATTATTCCCCAAAAGACTGAAAAAAGTCAGAAACATAGATAGATAGAGTGCCGATCTTTTCACTACGAAAATGAAGCAATAGTTTCTTCATGGAAAAACAAACATCGGGAGGGACGAAATTTGAAAACAAACACATTTCGTGTCACTGCTGCGCTACTAATAGTCCACACATTGTTTCGGTTCGCCAGTTCGTTAAATTGTCGACGGGGGCAGAGGTGGTTTCACCTTCAACTAGCAGCATTCACAGAAAAAAAAAAAAAAAAAAAACAAGCTTTTGGAGAGTGCCACACTGAAATCGACACAGTCAATTGCATCATCATAGGAGAGGCCGCAGTTTGAAACCAGTAGTGCCAACATTCAGCAGGGCTCACCTACATTTTTCCTTCTTTTTTTTTTTTTTGTGCCTACGGCTGATTTATTCTTATTGGTAAAAAATATATATATATATGTTATTATCAGTATTATAAAGTCCGTACTCACTCCGACAGGGGCTCAGCTCCATACACCCATATTCCGAAAACACACAAAGTTCAATCGGACTCGAATACTCCTACAAGACGCTTACACACCTACAGGAGG